TATATTTATATATATATATATATATATATATTTTTTTTTTGATATTGTTTAAATGCTGTTGTTAAGAGGAAATTACCGCCTGCGGTGGCACATATTTGTTGTCACTCGCAAAAATCAGTTTGAAAATTAGCTGGAACTTTTACTAACAGCAGTTTTTGTTATCTGAGGTTTTTTTCTTGGTTATTGATTATAAATTAGCTGCATTTGACAGTTTGGACTGTGAAAAATTTGTCTTTGGAAACTAATGCACTGTCGAGTGTTTAGAAGCCATTGATACGCATTAAATTTTGTAGTTCTGTGCTCGCAGAACTTCAACAGATATAGTGGAGATAGGAACTGTTAGTAGTTATTAGTTTCCTGCATTTTTTTTCAGCTATCTAATAGAAAAGATTAGGTATTACAGACTTCACTGAAGTTCATAAAACTTGAATAAACTTTAATTTCTTCTTGTAGTGATGAATAGTTTTGGCATATGAAAGCTATTGGGGCGGTTTCCTAAGTAATGCGCGCCGCGGCATTGAGTTTTAGACATTGAGTACGACATCTAAAAACTAATTTGGAAGAATTTCTGGAAAAGGAATGTGATTTAGGTGGATTTGCTGAAGCAAATGTTCTGTTTTTTGAACCTTAATCAAACGTTGTTTAGCTCGTATGAGAAGATTCCTTTAGGTGAGTTTTACAGTGTTACCTTTCAAGTATAGTTTGCAAATTCTGTTAATTTTGCAGTTGGGTTTTACTCGGTAATGAGTAAACTACACTTCAAGTTATCGTTAAGTGAACTTTATATTTAGCGCAGTCAAAAAGGAGCAGTGATTGCGTTTTTGACTGATATCTACCTGAACTTCACATGGAATGAAGCGTCGATAACTAGGCTTAAGAATGTCCTCGTCCTTTTTGACCTGCTCTGACCATTGTTAACACCATTGATGCAATACTACAAATAATTAGTTCTGCTGTATCACTTTTAACTTTCTGTTTTTAGTAAACGGCTGCCAGTCATATCCAAAACTAATGCAGACTTCTTCTGATCGGCCATGGTATGAAAGTTATTTCGAAAAATCGAATGAGGTAAGCGTGGCATCCACACCTAATGTTACATACGGATACAACAATACACCAATCATTGGCCACTCTCATCGCCAGACTTTCCACGTCATGTATGACTTTGGTCAAATTTTATTCAGTGAAGGAATTCTTCTGATTTGTCTTTTGACGAACAAGAAACAGTTCCTATCAATTTCTATTAATCACGGCTTTCGATGCTTCATATAATATCTTCGAATAATTGAGTATAGCAACTATGAGTTTGTGAGGATGATATATTTACAGGGACACTAGATGTGGTAAAGAGGTTAAGCTGTACGGTATAGTAGACGGATTTGAAAATGGAAAAACTATAGCTAAGTTCGTCGCCGACCAGCTTGTTAGTGAAATTTTGCCCCCAGATAAGGAAAAACGACATATAATGAACGGCAGTCCAAGTGATGCCGAAGTATTTGTTCTTAATCGTATAATTTTATCACAGTATTGAAAAACATTTTTCCAGTGGTTGTAACAGAGATAAACTTTTACTAAAAAAATTTTTTACTAGGGACATTGTTGCTTGAAGGTCTAAATTAGAAAGAAAGATGACATTAAGAACCCCGTAGAAACCCTACTTCATTTCTAAAAGAAAGCGTAAAAACGATTCTGTTAATTCTTTAAAGGGATCACTTATACTCTTCTGGAGTCTCTCTAAGTTTTTTAGGTTAAAAAACTGCTCCACCAAGCATTTCGACGTGTAGACGATGCTTATTTTTCTAACTTTATTGGTGAAGCTCTTGCAAGACGATGTGTGCAGCAGCTGAATACAAGTGGCCATAAAAGTTCAGATTCATTTGATTCACAAATTATAGATTTTGCCACTGCTATTATAGCGTTAATTTATGACAACAAGTTATTTGTGGCTAATTTAGGAGATTCAAGGTAAATTTTTTTCATACCAAAATTTTTGCCTAAAAATTCTTTAATACCATGAAGATTGAGCGATTTTGGGTCCCTTATTTGTTGAAATCTTCTTGATTTACTGGCTGAAAAAAATCACTTTAATCGCAGAAACAAAATAATTTTTTCAGGGCAATAATAGTCAGACGGGTAATGAACGAATGGAAGGTTAGCAAAGTATGTAAATGGCATCATCCGTCAGATAGTGAAGAGCGTAAACGTCTTTTAAACCTGCAACTGAACCCAGATGATGTCAGGTTTTTTCTGTTTGCTTTCTAAAATAAGTCAGTTTTGATATAAAGCTGCGGAATTTCCAATTAAAGGTTTAATCAGTTGTTTTACATTGGACTTTGAAGCAGTTAACTTTGATTGTCCAGGTCCAACCACCAACCAGATGTTTTGGAGACTTTTTTCGAAAACCAGGATATAAAGAAGTTGATGCACTGAGAGGAGCAAAAGGAGAACCAGTTTTAGCGGAACCAAGTGTTCAGGGACCTTTTCCGGTAGGTGCATTACAAATTTTGCATTCTTGAAGTTGCTTCTTCACTCTTCGTGGAATTTAACATCGTAACGTTTTTTTAATCTGTTGTAAACACGTTTAATAGGTCGTTTTCAAAGCTGTTGGCATTTTTTTAGTTGGATTCCACGATGCGTTTTTTAGTGTTAATGAGTGGCGGCGTAGTGCAGTCAATTTTAGAGTATGATAACTTCGCTAATGTCGATGTCAATGTGGCTAATCTTGTTGCTAAAGAACTTTCTGAGCGTCCGCTTCAAGGTCAGCTACAAAAGTTTTAAAAAAACAGCTTGATTTTTTATTTTAAAGATTTCATGCCTTTTATTAACCTCTGACGAGGCAGGCAAATGAAGCGTTTTTATGTTTTTTTTCGATTGCTAAAAATTTTAGAGGTTGCTCCGACATTGCTTGGTAGCATAGCAGAAAAACATGAACGCGCATTTTTTTCTGGTAATATCGAGAATGGCACTGGAAAAAGGAGATCTAGTCAAATGATGTTAGTACACCTTGAGCAGATTGCAGCTGGAAGAGCCGTTTCAACTCCAATTTGCAGTACACCAGATGCTGTTTTAGATTCTGATACTGAAGAGGTATAGTTTTTCAATGCTTATCTGCTGGACCAGGAAGCTTGATATCTGTTTAACTGCTATAAATTCGTTGTTGTAATTCCAGACAAACGTGCAAAGTAACAATGATACAGAAAAACCTGTGCCACCTTACGTTGATTTTTCTGAATTTTACACTCACCGCTTGAAAGATGAGGTTCTGAGGAATATTGAAAGGATAAGAAGTAAATACTCGTCTAGTAAGGTCACTTAATCCAGCATCAGTGAAGTGGATGAAGATGTTCGACACGGATTTCTATCAAATGCCTAGTTGGAGCACGAACATTGGTATTTGACTTTTCTTCTTCTTCTCCCTTTTCACTTCATATATTTATTTATTTTTTTGAGGTTTGTGTTAAGCCTTTTACATTCATATATCTGTGATTTTATGTATTCGCGATGCGTGTATATTATTTGAACTGGCCCCAGGTTTTAATTATTTGTGGGATCTCTAATAAAGTATGTGTCTTAAATTTTATAAGATTAGTTTCTGCGCAGCATTCAAGCAAGGATTTTTGGTTCACTTAAGTTGTAAAAATCTTTAATACTTTAAATTTTAAAGATACACTTTCAACTGTTTTATACTCCTCTGGTGCACATCTAGTTATGGAATTTTCTCTAGTATTAATAATTTTGTTGCAACGTTTATTGTGCACCTTTTTGAAAAGTTGACTGTTATTATCATTAGGAGGAGCTGGATTATGTTGACGTTATTAGACAAGTAAATAAAAAATAATTTATTGCTATTATTTTTCCAAAACCTGTAGAAATAAACTTTATTAGGCCTTACACTGTTACACACATTTAATTATTTGAAATGAAATGACAGCAAAATAAGAGAACAGTTGCAGCTGCTTGGTCGGACAAAATATTCTGCTAAGATTTTCAGCAATATGGTTGCCTTAAAACAGATTAAAGAGGAAAAAAGTACAAGCACCCTATTAATCTTTGGTTCTGCTAAAAGGCTCGACACTGAGGGTTACGATGAGTTTTTTTTTATGCACCAGTCAAATTTTAGTCACGGCAGTCTGAAACTCGTACGTTAAAAATGGCAAATACAGGCTTATGGTCTGACGAGTTCTCATCATACAGGGCATTGTAGACAATGGGCCGGATCGTGCCATTTTCCCGGGATAAATAAAGGATTCGATCCTGAAAATTTTGAAAATAATGCCTAGACTTTACATTGGATATTTCACCACATAATTTTCTATATGTTCAAATCTCCGTCATCCAACTGTTTTTGGAGAAATTAGGTTGTCCTCATCATATATATATATATATATATATATATATATATATATATCCATATATATATATATTATATATATATATATATATATATATAGGCATATATATGCACGTTGGTCTCGCTTACCATCTGACCAGATATCAAACGTTCCTCGTGAGAAATCAAAAGCAGAAATCTAACGAAGCTTATTAGTAGACTTGACTGCCGTCTGATTACTGTTTTTTTTGTTTGGTAGGAAGAAAAAATTCAAAAAAATTTATCTTATTTGATTCGTGTGTACGCTTAGTAGTAATTGGCAGTGACAACGGCATTTTTGGGTAAAAAATTTAATTTAACATCTGCTGTTCAGTATCCAAATGAAAAATTTTGGAATACTACAGCGGAGCAATTAACGTTGTGGTCAAAAAAGTGAATGAGGAAACAAAAGAAAGAAGCTTTTACTTAATTAATTAAATTAAACAAAAATTGATCTCAGTCACTGTAACGAATATTTTAATCGGTTTGATGCCGTATTCAAAGAGTCATTTCCTGGACAGTCGCTGAACTGCAAAGAACACCGCTGTTAAATGAAAAAAAAAGAAGAATGAGAGGAATAATTTTTGACTAATTGTTCAAAACTAAGGAGGAGATAAGTTTAAAGAAAAATTATTCAATTAGTGATTCTTGTAAGACAGATGGGAATCTTGAAATTATTTTGAAATTGCTTACTTATTTTTTACTACTTGTTTTTCGAGCATAATGAGCTAGTTAAGGCATATAATTACAAAAGTATAACTGTTATGGTTTTGAATACCACTAAACGTTTGCCTTGAAAACATGGCAACATAAAAAATGGTAAAATTTATTTTTGCTGTTCCTTTTTGAACAGTTCCACTACAAATTACAGCATAGATGAAGCTATCATTTCAAGTGCTTAACTTTAATTGGAATGTGCATAAACGACGGCACTTTAATTCTATGAAATTTCTGCTGACGGTGCCAACCTGCTTTATTTTTCAAATGCGGATATAGACATTTCTTTTGTGTCAAGTTTTATCAAACCCATTGAAAGAATTTGTTGTTAATTTTAGGCATGGCAGTAAGTTTTTTGGTGAAATGAAGGACCACAAACCACTAGTTGCTTGGAAAAGAACAAAAGTTTTGACAAACAAACTTTGATAAATATGCGTTTTTGAACTGTTTATAAAAGAATAAGAATTTCTAATGCAAAAACTGCCCAACAAATAATTTTAGCAACAAGGTTTTGTCAATTCCAAAAATAAATTAATTTCTAAAATTCCCCACTTATCAATGAAAGTTGTGTTCCTCAGTTTGCACTTGGCACCATAAACTTTCGTTAATCGTTTTCTAACTTACTGTATATGACGGTATTCGATTACAGACATATTCGTCTGTGCCGATAATAAATTTATGCGTTGGTGGAAAGCATATTTCTGCTTCTGTAAATCCTTCAAAGATGTTACCTAAAAATATATAGTTTTTGTTTTTCTTAGCCATCATTTCAACTGTTTCTGCTTTTTCTTCCACAAAAAAACAAATGTGGTTTTTCCAGATTTCCATCCTTTTTTTAACCAATAATCCAGAAATTAATCTTTTATTGTTTATAACCTTTAGTTTTTTCAATGGTTAATTCATCGTCGGCAAGAAGATCTGTAAAAATTTGGCTGTATGAACTGAATCTGTTGTGTTCTTTTAGTACATCGAAACGCCGTCGGTCAAGAATCCGAAAATTCATGTCGCCAAACCAAAAAAGCTGCAGTAGTATGTACAATTAATTTACTTTTTTGACGCAATACCTATAACTTTCGAAGTAGCTGACTTTTTAGACATCATTTGCGAAAGTCCTTTTGTTTCTTCTTCTTTTTTGGAAGTCTTATTGAAATTTTTTAAAGTAAAATTTATTAATAATATAAAAATAATATTTTTTTGCTTTAAATTGATGTAATTTTGCTGAAATGCTGTTCAATGACAGGAAATAAAGACAGGTAAAAGCTACTCTATCCGGTGTTTTATTTTCGCTGTCCTGAGCTAACTTCAAAGTGTCATATATCTTCAAATAATCGTTTCTACGGTATACCAGTGGCCCATCTGAAATAACTGGTTTGTATAACTGAAGTGTAGAAAACTTAATGCCAAAACGGTCACCATAATATTTTCCGTGCTGACCACCTTTTTCATCCTGATAAAACGCTACGAAACTTTCCAAAAAACGTGGGAGGTTTCTGTAAATTGCGCAGAGCTGCCCCTAGGTTTTTCAAACAAATGATCTTTAACGTTTCAAGTGAAAAAATACTGTATTTTCCTAATTGTCTCATAAAAGGAATTTGTATAAATACTTTTAAAAAGATATCACTTCTGTAGAAACAAAATAACAGAAAAAAAGGCCAATTTTAAGCAATTAATATTTCCTGTTTATAGATGAGTTTAGGCACTCAAACTGTAACAAAACTGTTTAAACATAGACATTGAATTCGATTCTGATTAACCGCGGTAAGCGATGCATGTAAAAGGTATACAAATAGGCCTTTAGCATCTTCTTACAGTGCTCCTTCTCTGTTATTTCTTTCAAATCTATTGTTGAACCCCGAAAATGCGTTTCTCTACTCCAGCAATCCTGGACACGACGTATTTATCTGAGAATCATCGTCACTTGCTCGAACTGCATTATTACACTGACATTTCTACGAAATTTATTTACGATCCATTTCTTCAACTTTCCCACTTGTTTTCAGCTTTTTTCCTATCTTTTAGTCATTATTTTGTTGATGTGTATACATCGTAACGCATTCAGAATAATCAAATAAATAGCCCTTCTCACTATTCCACTTAACAGATTTGAGTTGAGGCTTTTTTGGTAGCTCATTTGTTAAAAAGATGTCTGACATTAGTTAGGCGTCAAATAATGCAACTGTACAGTCTGAGAATTGAAAAATTATATACATTGGCTACCACTGTAAAGGTACGTTTGCATTTAAATGACGTGGGTACCGATAGAGCAAAAATTTTCTAAGCCTTCGGTTCAATCGCCTTTCTTTGTAGTGTTTTAAAGGTACTGCAGACTCCATTACTACGCGCATAATTTAAATAGATCAAATGTAAAATGGCGGTAAGTTTAGTCAAAATAAAAGGGAAACAGATACTTACGCGATAGGTGGCAGGAAACAAGTGCAATAGTTGTTTGAAACAGCTGAAAAGTTACTGCGATTGCCCCTTTTGTACGCATCGGTTTCACGATTACTGATGTGGAGATAAACTGCCATTGCGGAGCTAAAAGTAGCTTCATGACTTTAAACTCCATCAAATGCCAATTTTCAGGCTTTCATGTTCTTATCCCAAAAATTTCTTACAAATGTAAGTTTCTGTAGCAGTTTTGAGGTACTACCTTACTGTAAATTTGCAAATGGGAAATCGAAGACAGAAGGTTTTTAAATTCTTCACAACTGCTCGCTCTTTTACTATTTTAAGGACTGATTTTAAGTAATAGGAAAATACAAAAGAAAACCCTATGAGATTGGTAGCTGATTTGTTTTAAATAGCAGAGAGTGAAATTACAGAGACCATTAGGAAATCGTGACTTTGTTTAATGTGAGGGAAAGTACACCGTGGAGATCTAGCCTTATCGCTTTAGCGATGGTAACAGCGAAGCGTAGTACATCTCGTCTGGTAATTAATTCAAATTCTCCTTCTTGTTTTATTCACTAGTTTTTTCAAAGAATTTTATTTTTTTAATGAGAAAATTCGGACATAACAAAGCAAGATGGCTTCATAATTTCAATATTATTTGCCGATCGATAAGCGGCTTTTGTGAACTTTATGTATCCTTAAGTCAGGCAGACAGATGAGGCCACTTTTGAAAAAGTCATCGAACTCTTTTCTAATACTATGGTTCTGTAAGCAGATCCCAGAGATCTCTTCACAGCAGGGAGTTCTGGTGCTAAAACTCTACAACTTTTTATTCGCACTGCCTCTTTCAACAAAAGCTGCAATTACGAATCTTGTACTTAACAAAGCCATTTATCTTATTACTTTCGTTTAACTGTGTTTGCGGTGATCTGCCTGGTCAACCTTTCCTGCTTCCGCACCATACCTGAGTCAACCTTAACAAGTCAATTTCGGCGCCGGTGTTAATAGTCGGAAACATTGATATTGAAGTCTTCACTTACTGATTAGCTATGGCTGACCGGGAATAACCGCGATAACAGGTTTTACTTGCTGCTCATTGCAGACTCAGTCATGCAAAGGAGGACAGCAGGGTAAAAGACGTAGATTATGGGCTTTCTGGAGGCAAGTTTTGCTGAACGAGGCAAAAAGATCAGAATGTCGCGTAGGTTAACGTCAGAATTTTTTATATGAGGACGCTTTTGCAATAGTTATGAAAATTATGGAAGTGGTGGAAATACTGTTTATGGTAAAAAGTTAATAACTAGTTTAGGAATGAGCTAATTCCAATGACGTTAAGCGAATATTTGGAGTTGACATGGCATACAGCAACAAGGCACGGAAGGTGGTAAGTTACTCTACATAAAAAATTAGCCAACTCCAAAAGCTGTCACGTAACGAAACACTCAGAAAACTAAACTTGCCTACTTGACTCTTAAACGTTGGAACATTGGTGCAGTCTTCAAAGTTGGTTAAGCTCAAACTGGATAATCAACGCTTATTCTAATTACACTAGAGCACCAAAAAAGTTTTTCAGTTAACCAGTAAAATTTATTCTACAAATGCGGGTATAGTCAAAACTAAAGTGGGAGGACTAAACATTGCATAAACTACAGTTTTGGTTGAAGTTTAATTTGTACAATGAACAGCACAAAAGCAGTGGTATTGGTGAAAATAAGGAAGGCCCTAAATGCACAGAATTTGGTTTATAGACTAATTTTTCGAGTCATGATGATAATCTTTACTGCATTATTTATGCAGATGCCAAAAGTGATTGGCTGTATGCACGCACCTCCATGTCTGCAGTTTTATTCCGCATCTAAGTTTCCTAAACAATTTGCTAACATTCTGAAATTTTGGATGATGAACCTTCTAGGTACTTTCACTCATTACTTAAAACACTAATCTTTTCGCCGGCCAACAGTTTTCACCAAGGAGAAGAAAATCGCATACCAAATTTCCCCTACTAACCATACCTTTCACAGAAACAATGAACACAAACAGTTGCTACAGAAAGAAAATTAAAATTGTGGACTATTTAAGAAACTAACGTGACGCATATTTGATTAATGTTGGACGAATAAATACCATTAACATTTGTGTCCATTTTCTTACCCAACAAAATATGCGATGCGTATCCCGTAAACTGTCTGAAAGTGTCTGTACTGCCTCCTGGTGATATTTACTGAAAAAAAATTGGTTTTGGTTAGGCGATCATTTTTTTCTCAGAGAAAACGAGCTGCTGGAATGTAAAAAAGCCTTTTTCTTTATCATAATTGATCCGTGGTAAATGTATTACTTCTGTGAACAATACCACCCAATATAAGCTTGGAAAAAACGTAAAAGACAGTAAAAAAATTTGCAATTAATAAAAAAGTTGATAATTTTGTGTCATTAAATGGCAATAAAATATGTTGCTTTCTTTCTTCAATTTTCTTTCCGTTTAAATGATATATGGCAATAGGAATATAAAAAAAAAAGAATACTCTGACTGACGCATTAGTAACGGGAAGCTCTTGCAGTGAGAATGCGATCAAATCGGATCTTTCCGATACATCTCTGCTGGCCGCTAACTCACATATTTTTGACAGGGAAATTTGTGACTATAAAACAGTGGTAAAATCGATGCTGTTGAAGGAATACCGGAAAAGCACAGATAAAAGTTTAAGTACAGAATGACTTTTATTTTTTTTAGCCATTTACTCTGTCGATTTCAACATCTTTTTTTTTTCTTTTGTTCACATCACATTTTGAAACTACAGAAGAAAATTACCGACAGCTGTTAGCAAAAAGATCAATTACCCTTGATGCCATATTCCATGTTATACACATCAATTTTATCTGACCATTTGGTGCTAAATGCTTCAGAAGATTAATTTGTGGAATCGGTACACCACCAGGTCCAACAATAAATGATCTAAAAAAATAAGTGATTGTTTACCAAGCATAAAATGAATACGGTTTTATCGCAGCAGCAGAAAAAAATCTGGTATAAAGCTCAAGCTGTGTATCCTAATGTTTAAATATTATGCTATTGTAACACGGAAATCAGGAAAAAAGCGAAGTGTTTGCCACAACTACAGAATCCGTGGAAAAGGTGCTTTATTAATTTTGCCAGAGTTTCTTTCTTCGTTTTGAGATAAATGTGAAAACAATTGGAAAAAATTTCCAGTTTTTCACTCGTCCACTAAGATGTACAGAAGTATTCGTATGATAAAAGAACGTCTGTACTGTACAGTTAAAGGCGTAAACATTTCTTACGGTTTTGGTTTTTCAGATGTTTCATTACAGACGTATGCTTGGGTCATTGATTCTTCATCAATTGTTTCCAAACCATTTTCACCAATTGTCGAACCTATACTGCTCGCTAAAAAAAATCTAGAAATTATTCTCTAAAAAACAGTAAATTTTAAATAACAAGTGGATATCAGTCTATGAGTAAAGCAGTAGAAAAAAATACAACAATTTGACAAATTCTAACGGCTATTGGTTTACAGACTTTATGATTACAATGGTCAGAATAAACTACATTGAAACCTTCAAAAAATTATCCAAAAAACTTCTCAGCTGTCCTTTTCTAAACCGCTTCCGTTAATTCGATTTTGTTGTTTTTTTCCGTACTACAGTTTAAGATGTATCATTCAAAATGTTTCAATAAATTATTTTCAGTTTCTGCTGCTAATGACACCAATAATTAAGTCATCTTAAACGTGTATTTTGCTGTTATATGTGCTAAAAAAACAAGCATGAAAATTAAATAGGAAGAAGGAAGTGAAAGTTTGTTCTGTTCGTTTATAAGCTCAAAATTTTCTCTATCAACATATTGAGCTGTTTCAGTGATCTTTTTTCATAGCAGAATATAGTTGAATAATAAGATGGCAGAAAAAAGCAGCATAAATTGATTAACAATAAAGTTCGCATAACAGTTTTCAGTATCTCTTTTTAAATTTTTTTATCAAGAACAAATAGATAAACAATAAAACTTGAAAAAAAATGGGTTTTAATCAAAAATAAAGCAGCAGTTCTGTTACCCTTCAATCATTCCTCCGCAACCAGAACAAGCAGCAGCAATTCAATAAATGTAAAGAAAAAAATTGTGCTTAAGTTCATAAAAATATTTTTTTCCGAGAAAACTTAAAAGAAGAGGATTTCGAGAATACGACGAGGCGGGAAAACGAAGAGGTTAGGAATGGTGCTGGACAGAGAGGAAAGGAAATGTTTCAAAGAGATGAAGGACAACAAGGAGGGGCAAAGCGGAAAGTAATTATCTTAAGGACTGGCAAGTTGTTTCGGAATGTTGGGAACATAAAGCACTTGTTTGCTTTCTATTACAAGTGCCTCTTGGAAAGGTGATTTCAATGTCGACAGTCACTAAATTTTCTGGATCAGTTGCTATGCTGTTGCTTGTTGCTGGTGGTCCAGAAGCTGATGTCGATACTGATGCTCATGATTGTGGTAATGATGCTTAGTTGTACTGCTTTTGTTGCTATTGCTGTTTAGTGCTTTCAGTAAACCTTTACTAATAATTATAATACTAGTAATAATTATTGAATAAGACAGAAAAAAACTCATATTGGAGTTGTTCTTAGCAGTTGTATTGTGGTACTGAAAAACAACATTCAATATGGGAAAACATAATTTCAGCTTCTTTCTTTCTTTCTTTCTTTCTTTATAAAAATTTTATTGCATTCAAAGTCAGTTTTGTTTGGTTCACTAGTCTTTCTTCTTCTAAATTTTTGTTGTTTAGTTTTTTCTTTCTTTTTAAAGATTATTATTATTGCTACCAAATTTTGTTTTGCATTAACATTAAATTTAATTTAATTCTTAATTGATAGCAAATATCGATGGTTAACGGTGAATGAAAGAAAAGAAATTTTTTCTTAGATTAATCACTGTTTTTTGATTATTAATGTCGGGAAAAAAATAAACTTTTTTTTAGTTCTACATATTCCCGCAGAAGGAAATATTGGAGATTTGAAAAGCTGACAGGATGTATAATGGTAGCAAGTAGCGGAAGTGGAAGCTGGGTGCTGAAGTTGAAGGGGAAATGATTTTGATGAAAGAGGGTGGGAAAGGGCAAACAACCAGGTTTAATAGCTCAACTTGGTCTGCAATTGTAGTTTTCATAAAATCAAACGGGTTTGGGACATTGGAAAGTGAAGGAAAAGAGCAATTAAAGTTGGGCAAAAAATGACAAAAAAAAAAAATCTATATGAAGTTATTTCAGCCAAGATTTTTGTCATTCAAAATCAAAGATAAAAAAAAAAAAAAAAAAAA